CATAGCAGGAATTTAGAAAACCTAAATAAGGGACCAGGAAAAAGACTAATGAATACAAAGTAAAAATCAAAATCAACAAACAACTATAAACCAGAGACACACAATGGGGGTGGAGGGAGGGAAGGGGAGAGGAAAGACTAGGGTCAAAATAAGGGGGGGTGCAATTGTTATGGGGAATATAACCAAAATGAAACTACATACATTGTGCAAAAATGAAAAATGATGTAAGAATTATATAAAATATTAAAAAATAAAATAAAAATAGATAAATCTTTAAAAAATCTCTTTAAAAATTAAAAAAAAATGTTTTCTGACTTCAACCTCCTATTAGATCTATGACTCTAAAGCAGCATTTATTACATGTGTGCCAGGGCAACTAATGTGTGGTGAGGAAAGACATGGGGTGTCCTTGGAATGGTAGATTGGGGAAAAAACGTGGCCAAGAGAGTGCTGAGCAATTTAATTTTTTTATTTTTAGTTTTAGCTGGAGACTTCAGTAACATGCCAATATACAGTATAAATTTCCAAGATAAAGAAATGTAAACAGTATTTACCAACATTATTTGAAAAGAATGGTAGAAGATCTTGTTTTCTTGCTTCTATTAAACACATGCTGGGAAGTCTACACTATACAAATTATATTATAAAAGTAATCATCAGTATGATGATTTCAATATGATGTTTACATTATTTAAAGGAGAGTTGAAATTGGTAATAGAACAACACATGGGGAAAATAAGCTGTGATGAAGCAATTACACTCGGTACAAGTCCACCAGGATTTATTTGAATGTGTATCGTCTTGCCAATGGGATTAGGTTGCTAAACTAAATACCCGAAGTTTAACTATATATTCAGCAGAAAATGGATGAGTTACTTAAAAATCAATGCAATTTGGGGGCCTCCCCGGTGGCGCAGCGGTTGAGCGCTGGGTTGCCAAGCTGCCTGCAGCCTCTGCAGCGCCGGTTCGATCCCCGGCCACCGGGTGAGGGGTGGCTGAGGGTCCCACATGGCATGCAGACCTCTCCTGCCGCCCGCTGCTCCCCTCAGCAGTGTACTTCGGTCCTTCTGCCTGTTCTGCTCCCCGCTCTGGCTCTGGTAAATCCTCTCAGCCTCCCCCCACACCTCTGGCCTACACCCCAGTTCTTATATATATATATATATATATATATATACACACACACAATAAATTAATCTTTAAAAATAAATCAGTGTAATTTGATGAAAAAATAATAAAGCTAGTGAATAAGGGCAGCTGCCATGTGGTGTGGGGGGAAAATGTTCAGTGAAAATACAGGGAATGAGAATTTAAAGACATTTTGCTGAGTCATAGAAATGTAATTCTCTGCAAGATATCAGGAGAGACTAATTTTTTGTGTGTGCTGATATTTCTTCTACGACACCAGGCTGAGAAAAGATTTTAAAAAAAGATTTAATACCATCACATTAAAGTGAAACAAACATCCGGGGCTGCCTCTCCCACACACTTACCTGTCTTCTGCTTTCTTCAGATGATATCTGGGACACCCTGGACAAAGCATTCCAGGGAAGGGATTACTGCTTTACAAGCTCTTTACTGGTTTTTAGCTACAGCTCAGAGAAATTTCAGTGTCTTTAAATTCCAGGGAGGTATTTTCTTTAAAGCCAACTCCATGTGAGTAAGAAGTTCTGGAACTTTCCCTTGTCCCCACGTGATTGCCACCACTCCCCAGGCTGATTTATTATGACTCTGGACATTACTATGACCTTATTTTGAAAGGCATATCATCACATGATCAAAGAGCTTTTTTTTTTAAATACAGGGGTTTTTTTAATTAATTAATTTATTTATACAAGCATTGGGTACAGTCAGAAGCGTGGGAGGGTGAGAGAATTCACCAGAGCGGGGAGCAGAACAGGCAGAACGACGAGGTACACTGCTGAGGGGAGCAGCGGGGGGCAGGAGAGGTCTGTCGCGCCATGTGGGACCCTGGCCGGTGCCCGGGGATCGAACCGGGCGCTGCAGGGGCTGCGGGCAGCTTCACGGCCCAGCGCCCAACCGCGGCGCCACCAGGGGAGGCCCGATTAAAGAGCTTTTTAAGTTTAGTTATATATCAAGAAATTAATTCAACAGAGAGAGATTTTAATGAATTATGATAAAAATATCAGGTCAGAAATCAAACTTCTGTGACATAGGTTCGTCATTACCCGTATAATATCCACACTTAACTAATGAGAGTAAGTTAAGTCAAATTTCCTACTTGTTGCATTAATAAAGGACCTCCAAACATCGATTGCTTCATATTATCTATTCACACCTGAGTGTAGTGGCCAGTTGTGGTTTCACAAAATGGTAGAGCAAGCCCATTGCCAATTTAAAGTTTGGGTTTGTGAGAATATTGTAAAGTATGAAAAAGTAAAGAAAATAAGGTTAAGTATTCTGTGATCTGATTTGTGAGTCACTGCAAAGTTCTCTTTGATGAAAACTATTTTATCAGTGAATTCTGAAAGTTTCTCATTATTGAAAATCATCCATAAAATCCTTGTCCCTATCAGTATTATTCTGTGTGCTACTAAATCACTTATTACTAGGGTGATGGGGCAATCAATCTCCTAGTTTGAAGAAGCAAAGGTGGTAGATGTTAAAAAAAAAAAAAAAAGACACAAAATCACCTCAAAGACAAATTTGCTTTTTTTCAAATTTGTGTGTTTAGAAATCTTCTTGGTTTGTGGCTATCAGATTCCAAATGCAAGTGAGGCCAATCCTTGATTGTCTATGCTCATGAATAATAATTACAAGATTTGCTAAGTGTTTCTTATTAAATTTTTTAGAGAAAACTATCTATAGTAAAATGCACATATCTTAAATGTACAATTTGATGAGTTTTGGCAAATATGTACCACCATATAATCAATATTTCTATCACCCCACTCTCTCCTGTTAGTCACTCCCAGCCACCACAAGCAAGTACTCTGACTTTTTCCCGTGTACTAGCTTTGTCTTTTCCGAGCTTCATATAAACATAGTCAAATCGTATGTACGATTCTATACCTATCTTCTTTTGTTTAACATCACTTTTTTTGAGATGTATCTATGTTATATTTATCAGTCTTTCATTCTTTTTATTTTTGATTAGTATTCTACTGTATTAGTTGATCATAAGCTTTTTGTCTCTTCTTATAATGATAGATATTTGAGTTGGCTATTATTAATAAGTTACTTTAAATATTTTGTGCACTACTTTTTTTATAGTATACTTTCATTCCTCTTAGATGAATACCTGAGAACAAAATGGCCATCATAGGGTAGGAATATATTTATTTCAAAAAACATTTCCAAAGTAACTACAATTTTACATTCTCACCAGCTAGTCACAACATTGTTGTCCTCTTCAACATTTGATGTTTTTCATTTTTATCTATTTTACTCATTCTATTGACTATTTTATGGTGGTTTCTAATTTGCTTTCTTTTGATGTATAAAGATGTGGCAAAATCTTTCGAGGGCATATTGAGAATCGATAGTCATTTTCTTAATGTTTTTAGATAACAGAATTTCTTTCATTTACCTTTATGATTAGTGCTTGTCCTGTTCTTGTGGACTTTCTTATACATTTTCTTTATCTAGCTTGTGGGTCCATATTACATTTTTTTTTTAATTTTTTTTTTTTTTTAAAGTTTTTTATTTATTTGTTTGTTTGTTTATACAAGCACTGGGTACAGTCAGAAGCGCAGGAGGGTGAGAGAATTCACCAGAGCCAGAGCGGGGAGCAGAGCAGGCAGAAGGACCGAAGCACACTGCTGAGGGGAGCAGCGGGCGGCAGGAGAGGTCTGCGCGCCATGTGGGACCCTGCTCCAGTGGCCGGGGAGCAGCCGGGGATTGAACCAGCGCAGCAGAGGCTGCGGGCAGCTTCGCAACCCAGTGCTCAACCGCTGCGCCACTGGGGAGGCCCCATATTACATTTTCAAAGTAATGGTACAGACCCTATATTTACTGCAGCACTATTTCCAGGCAAAACCTGGAAACAACCCAAATGCCCCAAAATAGATGACTGGATCAGGAAGATGTGGTATATATATATATATATATATATATATATATATATATATATATATAATGGAATATTATTTGGCAATCAAAAAGATAAACTCATGCCATTCACAGCAACGTGGATGGAGCTAGAAGGAATTATGCTCAGTGAAATAAGTCAGAAGGAAAAAGAAAAATATCGGATGGCTTCACTTGTAGCAGGAATGCAGGGGAACCAAAGAAGACATCAGTGTAAAAAAATAATAACAGTACAAAACACAACAAAGAAAAAACAGACAATTATAAATCAGAGACATCCTGCAGGGGAGAAGGAGGGAGAGGGATCAGAGGGAGGGAGAGGGAACAGAGGGAGGGAGGGAAGAAGGGAGGGAGGAGCACAGGGGGCTGAGGTGATGGTGCACAGGTGCATTGGTGAAGGAAATTCTACGGGGACTACACCTGAGGGGGTGGGGGGAAGCAAACATTGCTTAAAAATGAGCAATGATGTAAAAAATAAAAAATTAATTATTAAAAAATAATAATGGTACAGAATCATTCATTGTTGAAAAATCTAACAATCCTTAGTTCCTGAAAAATATTTCTCACAAATAAATTCCCTTCCCCTAATTAAATTTACATGGCTTTCTTCCACTCCTTTCCTCATATTCTTTGGTCCTTCCTGTTCTTTCTATACTTACTTGGCATAAGGCAAATTCAGAATAAAACTTCAACATTTCTGTTCATTAGTTTGAAATACCCTATGTTTGGAGAGGAATTTGAAGTTATATTTTGAACTGTCTCTGATATAAAGTTTTCTAAATAATAATGGTAGCAGCCTTAGTTTCATCCTAGGAATAAGTGGGAGACATATATCTATAGAGATAGATATTCTATAAATAAAGCTAAGGCGTGCATGATTAAATCATCACATAGTTGAACATGTGCTTGACCAGAACCTCCTGGACTCCTAATATGCTTCTTTTTCTTTGCAGAAATATGTAATGATGACCCACCTACACTCAGAAATGCCATATTGAAAGTCTCTGCATACAAGATCGGCACCTCATTAAACTGTGAATGCAAGGTCGGCTTCCGTAGAAAGACGGGCATGATAACCTGTGTGGGAAACTTTAGCCAAACTTCCTGGGACAAGAAATGTCAATGTGAAAGCATTTGTAAGTACTTGCTTTTATAACTACCAGGGGGCAGGAAGAACTGCCGAAAAAAGAGAAACAGAGCTGCTGCTTTTGTTCACTCAGCCCTACAGACAAAAATTGGCCAGTTCCACCTATATGATACTGAATTTTAGTGGTTCCTGGAATATTCATTTACTAAAAAATATTTGATGAATGTCTCCTATTTCCAAGAAGTAGTCTAGGCACAGAGGATGCCTGACTCTCAAGGAGTATATGCTTGGTGTTGGAAGGGGAACACAGACATGACACTAATAATTACTAAATAATTAAAACATAATTCTTGTTCACCATAATCAAAATATACTGAATGCCACTGAACTGTGCTTTTAAAAATGGTCAACATGGTAAATTCTACAATATGTATAATTTATCACAATTTTAAAAATAAAGAAAGAATATGTAGAATGAGTCTATCTACATAAAAATATAAAAAAGAATAATAATTCTAGTGGGCAACATCATTCCCCTGTAAGGGTGAATGAACACTTTAGTCTTTGGTTTCCAAAGATAACACTTCAGAATATTCATATCCTGGTTAAAGAAATATACTTATCCTACTTCCATTTCTAGTAATACGCCAGTGTGGATTCCTAAGAACACCCCATTACCATTGCCCTTTAACCCCCCTCCTCTTCAGAGGTGATCTCTGCAACGCTGAGGAAAAAGTTCTGAACAGAAAAATGGAGGCAGTTGGAGAGGCACTTCTTCCCTTGACAGGATAAAGGTTGTTGGCTTTTATTTCAAATTCCAAATCCCTTCTGGGCTGTGGGTGTGAAGAGAATAATAAACCCACAGGCATGCCACACTGGAGTGTGCTGAGGTTCCAAGCCAGCAGGAGAGAAGCAGGGAGACAGAGGGAATTGTTCAGTTTGAATTTCTTGACTTCAAAATGTAGCTGGAGGGCCAGGAGACCCTCATTGCCAGACAGGACTGGAATCCCCAGCAGAATCAGGTCCCAAGCCTCATGCCTGCTGGTGAGGACAGGCAGATGGCAGAGCACAGGCTTGGATACTGGAGGTGGATCACCTCCCTGGAATGGAATTTAGAAGGAATGGCTCTCAAGAACTCTCTAAACATAGGCTGATCTGATGCCATGATTTTGCCACTGAACTTTCTTCTTTAATAACAAGAAATGGGGCTCACATGAGCCCCTTTCTTAACCAGGTCTCTCATCCACTCTGTTATTAGGAGTTGGCTGACTGGTGGGTCATCTATTGTAAAAGCAGGAATGGGCACTAAGCAGGTTTTCTGATCCAGCAGACCGGGTAAAGGAGGAAGAGAGTGAGTCTTGGAGCCCTCAGTGGCTTTTGCAAGCTTTAATTGGGATTTACCAGGCACTCAGCAGGCAGGGGTGCTGGGAGGCTGGTAGGCCCCCCATTCTATCTGGGGACCTCCATTCTATCTTCATTCTATCTGGGCTCTCCAGGGTTCTTTCGCAAACTGTCGTGATTCTCTGCTTCTATGTTTCTTCTTCTGCTGGCATCCCCATAACACCGCCCTTAAAAGCCCAGTCTTAGCCCAGGTGAATCCCATCTACATATGCCCACACCCTACTCCAGGTGCCCGCCATCAGGCATGCATTCAGGACCGCAGGGTTCCGTCATCTATCCTAATGGCGGGAGGGCAAAAAAACCTGATACTTTTACCTACCTTACATCTGTCTTTTGTCCATTGTACGTATGGCACAGTCTGGGGATCACTGCTCTGCTGAAGCATTGCATTGTCTTTTTGCCCAGTAGATCGCTTCGCTGACTCTATGCCAAAATTCTGTCCCCACTCATTGCTATATCCACACTCAACTCTTTACCCCAACTCTTCACAGCAGGAGTGCTATGGGGGAGGATTTTCTTATCACTGCTTTAAAACTGCCTCTAACTTTAAATGAACTACTCTACAGAAACAAGAGTCCGTGAGTTGCTGAACTCAATCATCCCCATTGCCAACACACATACCCTGTGTACCATGTTGACAGGGTTGATGCTGGAACAGAGTGAAGACACACATACACAAAAAAATTCCACCAAAGAAAAAAATCTCTCAGTTCTTTCAGAGACGTTGTGGGCTGTTGTCACTGTGCACATGAACACTGAGAGGCCAGTGCTGGACCAGGCCAGAGCAGGCCCCTCTAAGCATCCCGAGGCTTGTGTGCAGCTCATCTTATACCCAGGACCCTGATGTTGCCTGGCATGTCACAGGCACTAGAAAGATCCTCTTTGAGGGGATGTATGCGTGGAGAATTTTTCTATTTTAAGCATTTGTGAAAATTATTTGCTTTATTTTAAGCATCTGTGAAGTTATTTGCTTTATTTTTCCTATGCACTCTAGCCCCTGAGAACGAGAACACAGAAAAACAATTTGTACCTAACCCTGAAGAACAGAAGGAAAGAAAAACCACAGAAATGCCAAGTCAAATACAGCTCACAGATCAAGTAAATCGCCCAGGTAAGAGGTGAATCTGAATGATGCTTACCTGGTCACAGAAGCCAGCCCTTCACTTGCAGGTGAAAGACAGTGTTGCCAAAGGAGGAATTTCTGTCCCATCATCCTCTCCTCTGAGAACATTATGTGGATAGAAACAATTGCAGAGCATTTGCAGGCTGTTGACTCGGCTTGAAATAAGCCATTCTTACTTAAAGCAGCCAACCCGGCCTCTGGGTCACTTCCTGTTTGATGAACTGGCCAAAAAGAATTCAATTCAACTCAACTCAATTCAATTCAAGTCAATTCAAAACCCATGTGTTGGCAATAACTATACAGGACTGACAGATGATGCAAACATGAGTAGACACCAGTCCCTGCCCCCCACCCCCCGCAAATGTTATGTTTTCCCCTTAAGTACTAACCAATGAACTGCAAGCAAAGCATTTATTTCAAGATGTTTCTTACAGGACAGAGGCATAGATCATGCATTGGTAATTGGTGAGCGTGGAAACTGCACCTCCCGGGTAATGGGCTGTGGATAAGTGAGCGCTGCGGCTACTACCCAGCTGATGCCACAACTGTCAAAAATGACTAATGTTGAAGTCAAGTTATGATGTCAGAAAGAAATAGAGTCCTTTAGAAAAATCTCAGCCTGGGGAAACCAGCTGACTTTGCAAGTCCCTATAGTCATGTGATCAATTTAGAACCTTTGCAAGAACATTATCTTATATAAAATCTCTTTTGAACCCTCACAACCCTGAGCCAGGGAACAGGACTTCAATTGACTGAAGGAATTGAGACACAGATATGTAACAAGACTGGAATAAGATTTCAGGTTTCCTAAAGGAGACTAGGAACCTTTCTGCTGATTTACTTCTTTTACTCAATTTTGGGATCATTTGCAGCTTCCTCCCTCTAACCTCACAGCCCTCAGAATGTTTATTAATGTCTGCTGGCTTTTGAAAGTATTTTATGTTGTCACATTGACTGCTGTGCAAGTGTCCAGTATTAGTTTTTATCATTCTGACTTTGCTCTCAGGAACATTTCTGACACTTGTTTTTAATCTCTCCTTTTTCACTTGTGCAGTCTGCTCCTTCTTGCTTTTCTTTCCACCTGCTAACTGTTCTACTAACAATCTCTCCACTTTATGTATTTTGTAAAATTTCAAGGTTTTCCCAAAGTCCACAGATAGCCTAATCTTTGACAGTTCTTCCAATTCTCCTCCTCAGTTCTCGTAGAGTTTGCATGAACTCTTTTTCTGCCTGAAAGCTTTCCCCCTTTTAAAAATAATTAATTAATTAATTAAAGTTCTAAGAGTACCCTTAGATTTCTAAAGATCACACCATCCCTTGTGTTCCCTTGTTCTTTTCCCTTCCCCTCCATCTTATCCTCAGGGCCCTCAGGATGTTCATTTTTGAAAATGTTTTATGTTATCAAATTGTCTGCTGTGTACGTGTCCAGTATTAGTTTTTATCACACTGGCTTACTTTGCTGCGTGTAATTCCCTCAATTCTCCATCTAGTTGGAAATGCTGCATTTCATCCTTTCTTATGACTATTTACTACTCCTTGGTGTATATATACCATATCTTCTTGATTTAGTCATCCCTGCTGGACATTTAGGTTTCTTCCATGTCCTAGCTATTGTAAATTATGCTGCTACGAAATAATGAAATACATGAGGTTTTTCTGTTGATGTTTCATGTTCTGTGGATATATGTCCAAGGGTGGGATTTCTGGGTCATTTGGTATTTCCATTTTTAGTTTTTTAAGGTAAACCTATAATGCTTTCCATAATCATTGCACCAGTTTATACTCCCAACAGTGTAATAGGATTCCATTTTCTCCTTTTCCTCTGCATCCTCTCCAAAACTTGTTGCTGAGGTTCTTTTTAATATGTGCTAGTCTCACCGGTATGAGACAGTGTAGTGCCAGCAAAGCATGGTACAGATTCCCTGTGGATCGGGGCAGACAGGTAAAGGAGAGTCCTGGAACCCTCAGTAACTTTTTCAGGCTTTTAATGATCTTTCTACACCATTTGTAGTGTGAGGCAACCAGGTGCAGGGGAGGCAGGGAGGCCTGAGCGCTAGGAATCTTCACTCTTTCTGGGCTACTCTGTCTCACGGTCCTCTGCCAACCTGTCCTTATATGCTCAGTCTCTCAGCTCAGGTGTGCCCACTTATGTATGCCCACGCCATACTCCAGGTGCCTGCCATCAGACATGCGCACGAGACCACAGGTGTCATTCATAGATGCTCATGGTGGGAGGGCAGAAAAAACATTATAACGTCCATTTACCCTACAGACAGTATCTCATTATAATTTTAAACTGCATCTCACTGTCTTTTGGCCTTCTGGAATGTGTTTTTATCTCTTTACCACTTTAGCTGTTTACTGAAATGGTTTTTCAAAATATTTGCTTGTTATTCTCTAATTCTCTCACATTACCCTCCACAATTACTGAAAGGTCTCTCAAGAGGTCAGTGTTTGCTGTCCTTATTCAAGAGATAACCAGCTGGTTCTGGCTAAAAGAGATTTCACAGATTGTCTTAATCTGGATGTTTTCACTTGAAAGGAAACAGGCTCGGACAGTTGTAAATCTCATTTGCTATAAAAGAAAGTTTTTTTCTGAGACTAAAACAGAAGTTCAGTCATGATTTGCAAGGTGCTAACTGGTGCAGATGAGTGGGGATGGGCCTTCTCAGACTCCTGCTGGGATAGATAAATGAGGTAGGGCACGCGTAGAGTTTAGACTGGCTGCTCAGGGTTGTAGAAAACTGGAAGGGCAGGGTACATGTGCAGCTCCACACATCTGGAGTTAGGGGGACAGTGGTTCTCTATGTCCAGATGGGAGAATTCTGAGATTAAATCAGATCAGGACATGATCTCTGGGGTTAAAGATGAGTTAGGCTTGGGTTTTCACTGAGTACGTAGCAAGTTATGAGTTTGAAGAATTTGCAGAGACTTGAAAGGGTTCACATGAGTCAAGCTTCAGGCATGGTTGGATCAGAGATCAGCCTTCATTTATCCAAGATTCTCTGTTTCCTCTCCACCTCCCAGCTCTGGTTTTGTCCCCAGTTTTTCTGCCATGGTCCCAAGAGGCCTATCAGCTGCAACTCAAGGATATTCTTCCTCCCTTATCTGGTGGAGATGCCAGAGTGGTCTTCATCTTTCATGGGCCCAAACGGTCTTGAACCTGCCCTTACCCTTCAGCCAAGACAGCCCTTCCACTCCTGTCCATTTCTCAAAAATGCTTCAGCATCAGAATCAATTATCCATTTCCTCTACATTCTCATAGCAAGCCTCTGTTCTTCAACTAGACTCCTCACCACATTATGTCTCTCACCTAATTGACTATCCCTCCTTGTAAGAGTGACTGAGTCTTTATATCTTCCCACAAACTACCTAGCAAAATTCCTGACATGTAGACATTCGCAATACATATTGGTTAAGTGAAAGAAAGAAAGAATGAACAAATGAGCAAGTGAGTGAAAGAGTAGGAACTTGCCTTCAGCATTCTGCTTCCCTCCCCCAGGTTACTGTGGGGAGCCTCCAGCATGGGAACACGAACCCTCCCAAAGAACTTACCATTTTGTGGTGGGGCAGAGAGTTGACTACCATTGTGTCCAGGGATTCAGGGCCTTACAGAGAGGTCATGCCACGAGTGTCTGCTTAGAGGCCTGTGGGAGCACAATGTGGACACAGCCCAAGCTCACCTGCACAAGGGAAAAGACGAACGGTGTGATTTCAGGTAGGTTGGTGCCTTCTTGTATCCATAACCCTGCTTGCCCACTAAGCTGACCAGGGTGGAATTCCTAACCCACCAGCCATGCGACCTTGAGCAAGCCACTTAATCTCTTTGGATCTCTGTTTTTTCTCATTCCAGAAAATAGACTAGATAAACTACCCTGCATGGGGATAAACAGCGGAAGACAAGGAGGAAAGATCTTTCCAGTGTTCCAAAATAGCTCAAATGCTATCTCACTGGAGAAAATGCTGCCCCTTTTCTAGCTGATCCTGGAATTTCATTTTTCCCTCTAAGATACCAAGACTTCCTCTTGTTTCAAGGCGGAGGTCCAGTCTGCCATCCACACATTTGTAATTTACATTTGAAAATCCATTATTGGTACAATGCTACACTGTTAGCCTGCCCCCTGCCCATTTCTTTTTCTTTTTTAAAAAGATTTATTTATGCATACAAGAACCAGGGTACAGGCCAGATGTGCGGGAGGGTGAGAGGATTCACCAGAGACAGAGTGGGGAGCAGAACAGGCAGACTGACTGAAATACACTGCTGAGGGGAGCAGTGGGTGAGACAGGAGAGGCCTGCTGCACCATGTGGGTATCTCCCCAGCTGGCTGGGATCGAACCCACACTGCAGAGGCTGTGAACAACTTCATAGCTCTGTGCCCAACCATCTGCACTACTAGGGGGGCCCCCTGCCCTTTTCTAATATGCCACTTGAGATTTGATTAAAAAGTGCAAATGTGCAGGAAAGGGTTTTACTGAAGCATTCATGTATGCACAGACCACACTCATTCACACATACATACAGCCCACCTATATTAAGGTCTTCTGCTATTTTCATGCCAAAATCTTATTACTATTTCCACAATCAAAAACCACTTACATTTAACTATAATTGTTTTTGGTTTCTTTGATCACCATTTCCCATTTCCCACGTCTTCTTTGGGATTGCTGTTTCTTTCCCAAAGGCCCCCTCCCCCCCGCCCCATGATCCCTGATGGTCAGGGCAAGCTTCATAAGAGGTTAATAAGACAGGAGGAAAGGAGAACCTGTCACAGGGAAAAGCCATCTTTCTGTGCATGTCTACTTCATTTCATAGTTCATCATGACCCACTTTCAAAGGCACACATGGAAACCACAGAGTTGCTCAGAATTCCGTGGAAAGCCAGGGTCAGGATTTGAATACCCTCTCAGCCTGTTCCGCTTTCCAGAGACCTGAATATAGAGTCACATGACATGGTGTCCACAGATAAGGATGAGAACCAAGATTCATGCCTCAGCTATTGTCCAGGGCCAGCTGAGGTGGGCAGGTGGGGGTGCCTGTGCGACCCCCCCCCCAACTTTGAGTTCCACAAATATCACTTCTCTCCTCCAGGTGACAAAGAGCCTCAAGTCAGCACTGATGATCCTCCTAAGATTGAAATTGCCTGTCCCTTATCAACAACACATACTACAAGCATGACAGGTATGGCTAGAGTTTCTAGAAATATAAAATCTTGGCCATTAAATCATAATGCAAGAAAAGAAAGACAGTTTGAGAGGAGCAGCCCTCTAGCAGATGGGTTAAGGTCACCCAGTTGGTGTTAAAGATAATCCCAGATCTATCTCCCAATCACTAAAGCTTGTGGTAGAAAGAGGGGGAAGAAGACTAAGGATAGTATAAGACAAAAAGAATGAGATATTTGCCCAGGCCAGCCCTGGTCTTTCACATGCTTCCATCAGGCTCCATCATCCCTTCCAACACTGAAGAAGTGCTAACCCTCTCCACTTTGTGTGGTTGATAATTAGCATACGCTGAACATCTTCTGCTTCCTCTTTTGTACAGATTTTCAAAAACACACAGAAGTGGCTACAACCATGGAGACCTTCATCTATACGACTGAGTATCAGCTAGCAGGTGGGTCTCAGCTGAGTATCAGCTAACAGGGTGCTCTTTGATGGACAAACCATACAAAAAAAAAAAAGAACAGACCATGGGGAACAGCTGGATAATTTTATTTTTTTTATTTATTTTTTTGTTTAGCATGACTTTTAATGCAGCTGTAGGAAATTGAAATATATAAATATATTTGTATTTTATAATAATTTTATATATTATGACATATATACAGAGTAATATTAATAGGGGATATAATATAAGTAAAAGTTGGCCCCAGTTTTATATTAGCTAGTCTTAACTATAAAGAAATTAATTAATCAGCTGGGTAATTTTCAATGACCCCTCAGACCATATAATGCTCGTGAGAATAAAAGATTAATCCAGACAGTAAACATAACTCAAAATATACTAACCAGTTAAAGTACACTGCAGTGAAATCGCAAACCAAGAACAACAGCTCCTCCTGATGGATCCTAAATGACAAATCATCCATGCCAGTGTGTGAGGGGGAGGGAGATGGAAGAGCCAGGGAAAGAAAAGCACTCCATAAACCTCTGCTTTTAGAAACAGAGAGTGCTGTTGACGAGGGCCAGTGGTGGGGTCAGGGGCCTAGGAAATGGGGTGATACGATCAAAGGGCCCAAAGTTCCAGTTATAAGATGAATGGGTTCTTCTGAAAGGCAAAGCACAGCCTGGTGCCTATAGGTAACAGTGATGTTTATGTATTTGGAAATTTCTAAGCAGTAGATCTTACATTTTCCCACCTCAAAAAGGAAATGGCAATTATGTGATGTGATGAAGATGCTAGTTAACACTCTGGTGGTAACTGTTTTACAATATACAAGTATATCAAAGCAACACTTTAAACAATAAAACTGAGGGAAAAAGAAAGAAAAACACAGATTTTGAGGCGACATCTAAATCGATACATGAAGTAGATAAAGAATAGACACATGCATATATAGATGATAGACAAGAAAATGATAGATAATAGGTACATAGATGATAGGTACATTTATAATAGATAACAGATGATAGATGATAGATAGATAGATAGATTTCAGTACCAAACAAAAGCAGCAGTTGGGAAATAAGAACACTTTTAAAATATGCTAATGGGTTTCTCATTTGTCTTTATATTTAAGCATTTCTTTTACTTATCACAGGCCTCATTCATGGCCTCCTTAACTGAGGTCTGGCCTTGGAACCTTTCTGAAGAGCATGCCTGTCAGTTGGTTTCAGCAGAGAGAATCTAGTCTTAAGGAAAGGCACCATGTCATTTCTGTAACACTTGCCAGGCCCTTGTCCTAGTTCCTTGAGCCTCCTAAGAAATCCTGGGTGGGGATGGACCAGCATTCTGACAATGGAATGCAGAGACTGCAATGTCCCCTCAGGAAACCCTTACTCTGGGGGGACTTTCTCAACCTGCTTGGAGTCTAGCTAGGGTACCTTTGCTGAATCTCTTCTCTGTTGACAGTGGCCGGCTGCATCCTCCTGCTCGTCAGCATCCTCTTTCTGAGTGGGCTCACATGGCAGTGGAGATGGTGAGTCCATAGTATCATCAAGGAAGCACTTGCCCAAACTAGTGGCCCAGCCCCAACCCCCTCACCTACTAGTCACAGGCAGTTAGAGGAGAAGAGGTGGAGAATCTGCCAATCCATGTATCCCCAAAGAGTTGATCAACAAGATTAAAACCACAGGGATTGGGAGATCAAAGGAAACCAACATTGGTTGAGCACCTACTGTATGCCAGGCTCAATACTGATCTGACATACTTTACCACCATCTTCCCAGTTACTCATTTTCCCTAGTCCCTGACAACCATGATTCCACCTTCAGTCACTCTTAATTTGTCTGTTCTGGACATTTCATTTAAATTGAATGTACAATACATGACCTTTTGTGTCTGGGACATTAATACTTTTTTTAAAGCTCTTCAAATTCATCTAACACATCTCCAATTTTGACAACTCAGCACTGGGTCCATGGTTCTCAAATTAATGTGAGATTCAGAATCCCCTCTGTGGGCTTGTTAGAACACAGACTTCCAGCTCCAACTCTGGGCAGATCTGGGGTGAGGTCTGAGAATTTACATTTCTAACAAATTCCCAGGTGATACTGATGTTGCCTATTTAGGGACCAATCATTGAGAACTACTGCATGAGACCAACAGTATTAAGAATTAAGAGAAGGGGGCCTCCCCTGTGGCTCAGCAGTTGAGCGCTGGGTTGTGAAGTTGCCTGCAGCCTATGCACAGCCAGCTCGATCCCCCGCTGCTCCCCGGCCACCAGAGGAGGGCCCCACATGGCGTGCAGACCTCTCCTGCCGCCCGCTGCTCCCCTCAGCAGTGTACTTTGGTCCTTCTGCCTGCTCTGCTCCCCACTCTGGCTCTGGTGAATTCTCTTGCCCTCCCATGCTTCTGACTGTACCCAGTGCTTGTATAAATAAATAAATAAATCTTTAAAAAACAAATAAATAAATAAATCTTTAAAAAAAAAAAAAAAGAATTAAGAGAAGGGCCTCCCTGGTGGCTCAAGGGGTTAAGCAACTCACTATGAAGCTGTCCACAGCCTCTGCAGCAAGAGTTCGATCCCCGGCCAGCCAGGGAGCAACCCACATGGCGAGGCAGACCTCTCCTGTCTCGCCCGCTGCTCCCCCTCAGGAGTGTATTTCAGTCAGTCTGCCTGTTCTGTTTCCCACTCTGTCTCTGGTGAATCCTCTCAACCCCCTGCTTCTCTGGCCTGTACCCCAGCTCTTATATGCATAAATAAATAAATCTTTAAAAAAAAAGAATCAAGAGAATAAAGCCACTTCACAACACACAAACACAGTCAGTCAGTCAATCAATTTCTCCCTCCCTTTAGACAGTGCACTATAGAGATCTCCTCTGTCTGTCTGGGCTCTCCAGGGCATCCCTTACCCCCACCATGATTCACCTTGGCCAGCCTGATATAAACTCCCCAGTAAGACCCTAAGAAGACACAGCTCTAATTCCCCCAAATCAAAGCTCTTAGATCAGACATAATCCAGCCAGAGAGACATCATCCCACTGAACAATGACCACCTGATATTGGTCATCAGGCCCTCCATATATATATATATATATATATATATATATATATATCTGGTTTTCCTCATGTGGACTAAAAGGTACAAATTATTGCAATGCAAATGATCCACCTCTGTGGTTATTAAGACTTACTCATGTACCTGGTGGTCTATAAATTCACCTACAGTGTTAATTAACCCTAAGGTGTTACTTTGGGGTTAAATGAGATGAAGTATGTAAACTGCCCAATACATTATAGAAACTCAATACTGGTTGGACTGTCTCCTTCCCTTGCTGACAAGGTTTAATATTTATTAAGGACTCTTCATTTAGTAGCTTAAAGAATAAAAGCCTTCAGATCCAAAGGGACAAAACAGTTTGGGAGGGGTTATGATTTAGGCTTTATTTTGTGAAACAAAAAAAATATTTCTGAAACTGTATGAAATCTCCCAAACTTCCCAGAGACACAAACATAAATCTCATGAAATGACGCCTCAATCAGTTCCAAATCCTTCCTAGAAATGAATTACATCTGATGGTCGCCCTCTTGTGGTCAAACTAAACTCTACATTTGTTTTGTTTTTGCTTTTTGGAGTAATGCTTAAGAGCCAGTACTCCTGAGAGCCAATATTTTTTCAGGAATTTTATAAACTGTTTTTAAGTATAGTCATGATTAAGTATATCAATTTAAATTTAAATAAGTTATATTAAAAACAAAGCTAATAATACATAAAATTAATCACTTTCTAATGATTTTACTATACTACTTTCTTTGGACATCGCATTGTGAGAACAATAGAGCAGTGAGTCCTGGCTTCAGAAGGAATGGAGGGGTCAGATTTCAGCTTGTAGGAAGGTAGATTTAAAATTAGTAGACCAAGGGGAACTAATGTTGAATGCTCTACCTACGCTGGTTTAGGCTGGGGACCACATTTTTCTAGGTGCAATATGACACCTATGACTATGACTTATTATATCACTACAGGAGGAAAATGAGAAGAACAATCTAGAAAACCTATGGTGGTAAAGAAGCTAAGAACAGCCCACAGCAGTCATGGAGAACAAGAAAAATCAAAGAAGTTAAACACTTATCCAAGAGCCTTTCCTGTGAGTCGTTGGGTTTTAGAAAGCTCTGAGGTCATCACAGATCATCAGGTGACTGCATCCCTGTCATGAAGCCAACTCTGTAGTATTGATACAGGGCAGCAAGGGGCACTAAAACTGGCCAAGGACACTGTTTACCAGTCACTGTTTACCAGTCACTGTCTGAGTTCTTTACCCATGTGCACAATTGCAAGACTACTCAGGCTCAGAGAACAACAACAAAGGGATTTATTTAACAAACCAGGGGAAAACAAAGAGTTACTGAGGCCAAAAGTGGTTGTTTACCTCACCCAAAGCTGTGTCCAGTGTTTTTCAGTCCTAAACAAAAGCAAGTGAAATGGTGTCTTCCCACCACCAAGGATGCAGAGCTCTTCTGCCGAACATAGGCCACGTTTCCAAGATGGTGTTTTCCTGCCACTTAGGACATGCAGCAACCAGACTACAAACCAGGTTCCAACTCGTGAAGACAACAGAAGATACAACAGGAGATGCCCCAGCACAGCACCAGACAAGCAATACTGAAAATAGCAGCTACAGCAGTTGAATAACCAGACAAATGGCCACCCACAATTCATGCATCTCAGTGAGATGCTTGGCTTCGAGACTTCGCCTTCTCCACCAAGCAACAACAGCAAAGCAGTTTTAGTCACTCGACTACTTGTAAAGCCTCCAAGATTTTCCTCTCTGAGGTTGGCTGCTGGAAGCCTTCCCATTCAGGGGCCCACAACAGCCTTCTGAAAGATGGGCGTGGGGGCCAAAATGTGCTGACCCCTCATTCTGAAACCTGAAATGCTGAATGAATCCACGCCCCCTTCTGCAGTCACTTATATCTTGTATCAGTTGCTCCACCCCACTTTTTAGCATTTTCCCCTGGGGTAGCACCAAAACAGGGCAACCATCCCTTGGAATTGTAGAACTTCAATATCTGGAAGGATTTTACTGGAATTGATGTTGGGAAAAGAACTAGGTTCCATCAAAAAGCTTTACCTAGCCATTACTCATAGACTTCAAGAGGGTTTTCTATAAATGATACTCTGCATTTGGCAGACATAGATTTTGTACATTGGAAATGTGTACATTTCTAAATAGACGTGATACAAACAAACACTGATAAGCGAGCAATTTACATTCAATATTTATGGAAGAGAAGAAGGAAGGTAGTGAGGAGGGGCCAGGGAGATCATGCTTACAGAATGTAACTATGGCCCTCAAACTGGTTAGCCAAATACAGCAAATCAAAATCATCTGGAGGCCTTGTTAAAGCACAGCTGGCTGGGGCCGCCTCTAGATTCCTGAATCTACCCGCCCAGGTTGAGGACGAAGAATTTACATTTCCAACAAGTTCCAGGGGATGCTGACGATGCTAGTCCCAGGACCACACATTCAGAACCACTGGATTTTACCTCTCTGTGCCCACTACCCCTCAAATCCTCCTGGAAAAGTCAGCTTCAGATAGTGAGATTTCAGTGAACCTTCTTGTTTAGTCTTACATTAGATTTCAATTCTCAATTAAATAGACACCATTGCCCCAGTTTAATAAAATCATTTGATTAAGAAGATTAATGAAAAATTTAAGTCAGCTGTGAGTTTTCATTTTGGAAAGTGTTGTAGGGTAAGGTAAAAGGTATCAGGCTTTTCTGCCTTCCCGCCATCAGGATAGATGAGGGAACCCTGTGGTCCTGAATGCATGCCTGATGGCGGGCACCTGAAGTGGGTACACCTGGGCTGAGAGACTGGACTTTTAAGGGCGGCGTCACGGGGACGCCAGCAGCAGCAGAAGCTGAAAGAGAAACTGAAAAAGAAGTAGCAGAAGCCAAGAGAGAAGCAGAGAACGCCAGAGAGCCCAGATAGAGTGAAGACTTGCTGGGGGCTGGGAGGCCTGCCAGCCTCCCGGCCCTCCAGCACCCCTGCCTGCCATGTACCTGGTAATCCCAATAAAAGACCTGCAAAAAAAACCACTGAGGATTCTGACTCCTCCTTTACCTGGTCTGCTAGATTAGAAAACCTGCACTGTGTCCATTCCTGACCCTACAATTGGTGTAAGTCGGCAAGATGATCCATACAATTGGGTACGGAGCCATCCGAAGACCTGGAGGGACTAAGGAGTTGTAACAGACTGTGTTTGCCTGTGATGACACTGGAGGCATCATGGCGACACAGGAGATGGACAAGGTCCAGGAGCTACAGGACGAGACCTGGCGTGAAGGAGATGCCCGAGAGGACCAGCCAACGACCCCCGAGAAGACCACCCAACGACCCCCCAAGGCAGCAAGAATTGTCAGGGAAGAGAGGACCGCGATTCGGAGCTCGCCAGTGCTGATGGAAAGGCCTAATGGACTTGGACTGATGAACTTGGACTGACAGTCTGGCCAGAAGGTGGAGGACCTTGGCAGGT